ACACCGGCATAAGGTGACAACCGAGTAAATGCAATTACTCTTGCGAAGGCTGTCGTTCGACTGACTTAGGCAGCGTAGTTTTTCTTTCTAAAGTTGCCAGGGGCACGGGATAAGCACATGCAAGTGACTATCCTTACCCTGTGCATTTATTGCCCTGGCAGCGTCGTCTCCGGCTCGAACGTCGCATCGGTGAGCCGACTTATAAGTGTACGACCCCCTCCGAGGGTCATACCGCAAGATATAATAAAACTAAAATCGAAGCATGCGTTTAACAAATATTAAAACTATATAGATATTTCAATAGAAATGGAAGGCGGCCTGGAAGGGCAATCGGAGAATAAACGGCGTCTAGAATCGGACGCTACTTAAACGGCACGTTTAATTTCATTCTTTCCTCTGAGCCTCGCAGAACATTCCGATCCCTCGTTCTCTGGAATCCTTTTTGTCTAGCGATACGAGGTTGCCTGAATTTCTGCCCGACAACGGCGACATCGCATCCGATCGAGGCCTCGGTCCCTTTGATGTTCGCGGATCGTTTTCTTGATTACGAAACACTTGGACCAATCTCTGTCCCCGGAGGAAACAACGCTGCGACGTAAGAACGAGGGCAACCGCTTCGGTCAGCTTTTCGAAAGTTCGTTCGGACCGCCACATCGAAAAGCACACACACGTTCTTGACTAAATCATTGTTTCGTCGATTAATTGCTCGTGTTCGATTAATTCTTTGTACATTGGATATATTATATTTGATTTATACGTTTTCCAAATATGTCCTGAACTATTTTGCCCGGATAAATAATCAACAAGTGGAAAGCGATTTTGGCAATTATTTAAATTAACATCGTTATACGACTCGCAACGAATAAAATTAATCAAATCGATGTATACCCATGGACTATCAATTACCGTTAACTATTGATACGTTGGATCGTAATTTACAAACATGAGAAATTTACTGTAATCAACTTCTCTCCTGTATGAATATGTTCACTCGTTATGCTTGTAATCTGTAATTCTGCTACAAAGAAACAACGAGTTGAACAAAAAACACTGCGACAACCGGTTGAACAAAAGTTAATTCCCGGTCAACGAATTAAAAATCTATAGCGTCTTCTATTGATTTTTGCACTGATTTTTCTACTGATTTTTCTACTGATTTTTCTACTGATTTTTCTCGTAAAAATTGATTTTCAAACTGCCGCGAGACTAATTTTTTATTGTAAAAATACATTTACGAGTCATGTAACACTAAACCTACCGCGGTCAAAGTGACTGCTTTCTCATTTTGCAATTCTGCAAAGTTCCGAGACTCTTTCGCGAAAAACGCTTGAACAAGTTATATTATTGGAGCAAGAGTTTTATAATAAAAACTTTACAAAATCCAAATAAATTCGGTCTTCTCACTTTTGTGAAGCAGTACATGCCAGTTAGTATTACTGCTTGGTAGGTTTAGTGTTAATCGATGCATATCTCGTTCAGAAAAACCGAATAAACGTCTTATCGTACACTTTTATGAGCTAATATAAGAGAAAGTTGCTTTCGTTGCCTCGCAAATCCGGTGTCACGTGTAAAAATGAAGAAGAATTTCAGAAGAGACCGGATTTAGCAGGCCCTGAAAGATGCAAGAAGACCGCGTTTTTGATCTTCCCGAGACGTTTCCGACGTTAATCCCGTCAAGCGACGGTTTTTCGCAACGACGTGCCCGGTCCGATCAAATATTTGGCGATTAATGAAGCGCCGCGATGCGATTAACGGAGGACGCCTCGTTACGAATGCAGCGGTGGCCGGTGTTTTAGCCGGCGCGGTCGTTAACGATTCGGCGGAACGACGGGGCCGGTTGTTCGCCTCTAACGGAAATTCCTCGTTCGTGATCCGGAAACACCTGCGGCGAATTTGGAAGACCGAGCGCCGAACAGAACTAATGTTGCGGGGCAATTTGTAACGAGAGCTGGCCGACGCGAGGCGATCGGGGAACGTGAGACAGCGGATCCGCCGCGTCACAGGCCAGATAAATTACTTTGTTTCGCCGGGGAAGAACCGCAGCCCCGAGGGCTCGCCATCGATATCAACGACTGATGAGTTATCCCTCGCCATTCTCTGTCCGCATGAATCAGGCGGGCTCCAACTTGCCCGAAATCCACGACCGATTCGAAATCGCCGAGGACCGATCGCCTCCGTCGAACGCTTTATCCGTTTTCTTAACCCTCGACCCGTCCTGCTATCAATTTCACACTGTCCCGAAGTTTCAGAGTGCATTGTTCTGCTACCGTTGAGAAAATTCATTTCGCTTTTTTTTCAACGCGAAGCACGCGTATCTGTTATTAACGAAAAACCGTATAGAGGGAACATCGTGCAATTATGTTTGCTTTTATCTGCAATAAATGTTTAGCGAAATAAATTGTTTGCCCGCTACTATACTGATTTGATTACGGATTAATTAATTTTATATTCGGCATAAGAAAATTTAAATTTAACCTTGACTCTGATTTAAAGAATAGTACAAAAGAGATGAAAAGTCTCTTAAAGCTTTCTATCTAATTGTAAATACTAAAGTGAAATAGTGACAGTTTCCATATGGTTCTTGAATGCGATAAATAGACCGCGGATTTTTATGCGAAATAAAAATTGTCTGCATTGTTTGCAACATGCAGGAATTTAACGAACATTTATTTTCTTCCTCGATCATTTCAATGAGTGAAATACAATAAAATAATATCGTTGAATTCTTTAAATATCTTCACCGTTTTGAATTTTTCTCATAAATGCATAAAATCCGTCTAATAATAAGTAAACCGCGGATTTTTATGCGAAATAAAAATCATCCACGCTAATCACAAGACACAGACGCTACATAAATATTTATTTCGTTTCTTGACGATTTTAACACGTTGGAAACAGTTCAGCGATAATTTAAGATTTCTTAAATTAAAGAAGTCAATATTTATTTGCTTGCCGATTCCTTCGACGAGCACAATAAATCGTTACTTTGCACGAATAATTAATTGCACCGACAGATAACAGCATGGCGAAACGAAGGACGCTCCCGGAACTTGCTCGAGCATTTTTCTCCAGCAGTTTTACACGCGTCGAATGGACGAACGCGTAAAATCCCGACAGCAACGGCGAAGTTGCAGTTTCCATCGTTGCGCGCTCGGTCGATGAGCTTCCTTCTTTTTTTTCTCTCTTTATCTCTCTCTCTCTCTCTCTCTTTCGACCGTTCCGGAAGCAAAGGAACCGCGCGAAACTTCGTGCAAAGCAATTCTCATTTTCCTCGCTGCGAATCGCGCTCCTCTAACCGGAACGGTCTCAAATTTGATTGTTCTAGCCGGTGGAGCGCAAGGCGCGGACGGTTATCTTCCGGCGTGTACACAGTCCCGTCGTTTTGTTTGCTCATACGAAAATTCTTGAACACCGCGCGCCGCCAGGAGTACGGAAAGTTCGAATTGCATCGGGCAAAATTGCGGAGTTTCGCGATATCCGGGCGCGGGTAGAGCTGCACGGCCGGTCCCGGGATCAAATGCGACCGAAACTTCGCGAACGCCAACAAGATCCGTTTCTGATTGATGGAAACACGAGATCGACGACTGACAGCATGAGCACTCGTCTGCCTAAATTCAATTACATGGTGGATCTTTGTGCACGAGTAAAAATGGCATTGGAATTCGCTGAATTCGAAGATCTTTCGATTTCTTCGTTTCTCTTGCAAAGAATTTAGCACTTTCGGTGACAAAAGAGTAATAAATGAGACAACGGTTAAATAAATTAACACATCGTCTGCCGGAGACGATCTCGTAATTTTTAGTGCAACATTTATAGTTAAGAATTTATACAGCCTAATAATACATAATAATTGCACGGTAATGATTATACAATAATACGTAATAACTGTACAGTAACGATTATAAAATAATACAGAATAATTGTACAGTAATGATTATAAAATAATACAGAATAATTGTACAGTAATGATTATAAAATAATACATAATAATTGTACAGTAATATGATTATACAATAATACATAATAATTATACAGTAATGATTATACTAAAATACGTAATAATTATACAGTCTAATAATGAACAATAATACAATCTAGGTTTTACTTTCTGATGAATTGTTCGACGGGAATAAAAATTTCAGTTGCATACCAACAGGTCATTTTCGGTAACAGAATCGACTAATTTATTCTATTTTATCTTCTATATTAGTTCTATATTATCATATAAAAAAGAATTTTAAGCTTTCTCCTAGTACAGCACAGTAACTGAAAAACCTATTAACACGTAAAGTGCCGAATGTCAACACTAAAAATTCTCACGATATAAAAGTCACTTAATTACTGAAACAGAANATACAGAATAATTGTACAGTAATGATTATAAAATAATACATAATAATTGTACAGTAATATGATTATACAATAATACATAATAATTATACAGTAATGATTATACTAAAATACGTAATAATTATACAGTCTAATAATGAACAATAATACAATCTAGGTTTTACTTTCTGATGAATTGTTCGACGGGAATAAAAATTTCAGTTGCATACCAACAGGTCATTTTCGGTAACAGAATCGACTAATTTATTCTATTTTATCTTCTATATTAGTTCTATATTATCATATAAAAAAGAATTTTAAGCTTTCTCCTAGTACAGCACAGTAACTGAAAAACCTATTAACACGTAAAGTGCCGAATGTCAACACTAAAAATTCTCACGATATAAAAGTCACTTAATTACTGAAACAGAAACTAGAAAGTTAAGATTCGACGCAACGAATATTAACTTAGTTCTATTATATTCTAAAAATCCTAGTAGTATTTAGATCGTACATTATATTACAATAAAAATGGAATTCGAAAGCTGGATAAAAACTATTGTCAACTATATACGACAGACGCTGCTGCCGGTGGTTGAAGTGTTAATGGACGTCAGGCGAGTTCTCCGTGAAACAGCGACAAAACCTAGGTGCAGCAGAAACTTCGTTGGTTACGATTTTAACGCGGGAAAGCAGGTCAGGGAAGGAGTCGGGATCTTTCTGACTTCGTCAACATTTTCGGCGTTGTTCTCGGCCAGGTGGTTCTGCAAACTTTTCGAATGATGGTAGCCTGATGGAGCGATGTCTAGAGAGCACTCTCATTATACACTTGGCGTATGATACCGGAGTATTTCGTATGCATCATCTACCTTCCCCAAGAAAAATAGCTCAACTTCTTCAATATGCCCTTTAGTAGATTCCATTATAAACTCGTGAAAAATTATTCACTGTAGAATATTTTCCCCTCAAATCCCAAGCTACGGCTACTACTAATTAACCGGTTAGCTGTTTCGGTCTATTTAAAAAGTGCGCGAGTTACCGTAATTATACCGTACGTGCTTTATATTCTTCATATTCCGTTTAAATACATCAATTTGATATTCTTTATTTAGTTGTATGTTTTGTAAAAATGTTTTACAATTTTGTAAAACTGTGTATAAAATTCTTCTTAACCAGTCAGCTGTTTTCGACGAGTATTTCTCACGTCGCGAAGACCGACACCTTCAGTCTTTTTGTTCATATCGGTAACATTTTTCCTCTCAAACACAGTATTTATTTTATATTTAGACAGAATTATTTATTTAGTACAGAGATTTGGAATCACTTCGTACGGAGTATCGAATAAGTAAAAAAGAAGAAGTGGCACCTTCCATTTGTACTATTTTTAGGTAGGACTTCCACCGAAACGATTTAAAAATTCGCTGCCACTTAAATTCCCAGTTAAGGACGTCTCGAGGATATTATGCTGGCTCCGCACTATTTCTTGCTTCGATTAGCAGGTCTATTTTTTGCCGAGGATGCCGCTGGACAGCACTCGGACGCTCGATATCCGACGACCGCGACCGAAGATTATTGCAGCGGCAGATTCTTGATGGCCTCATTTTTCTCCGGCCCGTCCACCCCCGCCGGTCTCATTCTCCCGCAGCCCCGATCGACACCGGGAGCCGTTTAGTACGTGTCTCGTTAATAACGCCATCTCCCATAGCGTCGCAACCGCCGCCGCCATCGCGCTTCTCTTCCTCCCCGCGAAACCGTCGAATGGAAAAGTTGCCGAGAACCGTTCTGGGGCCGCGTTCCTTTCGCCGACCCGAAGTTACACGTTTCTCGTATCCAATGCTCGGCAGCCGAGTTCTGGCAAATCGCTTCTGGGAAACTGAAATTTGTCGGGCATCCACGTCGCTGTCCGCCGATTTTTATCGGCGACGGTTCCGGCCGCCGCGCCGCACGCCGCGGCGAACTTTGATCCGGGGAGGAGAACCATTTCCGCTCGGCCGAGTCGCGTTTCACTTTTTGTTCCGGCGGCGCATTGTGGATCGGTCGTCGTTGCGAAACAAATCGCGAGCCTCCGCGATTGTTTCTTGCGAGACCGTAAAACGTATATGAGAAATCACTTAGCAGACACTGAACGATTTCGCCATCTTGTTCCTTTTATGGGGCCTGAGAAGCAGTTCTATTTTATGGGAAATATATTGCGTAGGATAACGGAGACGGTTACCGTGGGGCGGCCAATCGCTGGTACGAATGATTATTCTTTTATTTTGGTTGTTTCTGAATAAATAAAAAGATCGAATGTGTTCGGGAAATATAGAGTTAATTATATTCATTACTAATTGGACTGCTTCGAGGAAATATTTGTCTAAGATAATTGTCCGAATGAATTCTTTTCAGTCGACTATTTTGTTCGAATAGTTCATTAATCGTCAAAATATTCTATTTATTCGAATGATTCTTTATTCGAATGACTCGAAAAATTCTTCGTTTAATTAATTCGAGAAATTCTTTATTTAAATAAAGAAATATTAAATATAATATATTATATTATAAAAATATAAAAATTATAATATATTATAATGTAATATATTATATTATAACGAATGAAGAATTTTACGAATTATTCGAATAAAGAATTTTTCTTTATTTTTCTTTATATTATATTATATTATAACGAAAGTATTATACGAATTATTCGAATAAAGAATTTTTCTTTATTTCTTTATATTATATTATAATATATTATAATAATATAATATACATATTATTATTATATTATATTATTATATATAATAATATTATATACATATTATTATTATATTATATTATTATATATAATAATATTATATAATAATATAATATTATAATATTATATATAATAATAAAGAAAAATTCTTTAT